AAAACCGTCTATATATGTAAATAATACCAAACTTGAGCAAGTTGATAAAATCGTCTACCTTGGACAGCAATTAAATTGTAATGCAGAAAATCACGGCGAAATTAGATCCAGAATAGAGCAGGCTAGAGCTGCTTTTAGAAGGATGTCCAAGGTGTTATGTAACAGAGACCTAAAATTGGCATTAAGGATCCGCCTACTTCGCTGCTACGTGTTCTCGGTCTTACTTTATGCTGTCGAGTCCTGGACTGTGAATAAAATCGATCTAAATCGCCTTGAGGCTTTCGAAATGTGGTGCTATAGAAGAATTTTAAAAGTTTCCTGGGTGGAGAAGATTCGTAACTCCACAATACTTGAACGTCTCAGCAAGACCACTGAGATCATAAAAAGCATCAAGCATCTGCTACAAAATATCATGCAAGGAAAAATAGCAGGCAAACGCAGTCCAGGACGAAGAAGAACCTCATGGTTGAAGAACTTGCGAGATTGGTATGGTGTAGATACAAGCATGATATTTAGGGTGGCAGTGAATAAAATTAAAATAGGTATGATGGTAACCAACGTTCTGAAAGGACATGGTACATGAAGAAGAAGAACTTTTCTCTTCGACGACTAGGCAGCCTTCACCCCTACTGGATAGAACGACTGTCTTTGATGACTAAGCAGTCTTCATCCTTACTGGATGGAATGATTGTCTTTGATGACTGAGCAGCCTCCACTCTTATTGGATGGAATGACTCTCTGTTAATGAGCTAATTATACGGGGAGAATTAAAACATGAAACATGGACGACGAAAAAACAAAATAAGAGCCGATTGAGCATCGCAGAAAGAAGAATTATTAGAGAAATATATAAACCTGCTATCGATAATATTACAAATCAATACAGAGTGCGAAACAACCGCGAACTAATTGATTATTATGACCAACTAGATAAAGGAAAAACATAAATAACATCTTATACGTAATACCTTGTAAAAATAATATTGTACATTTTTAAGAACGAACTCCTATTTGAACATTGAAGCGTCAAATAAAATATGTAGTACATAATAAATATTGTGGCATATTTCTTTCATTCTATCCAAAAAATAAAAAAAAAATAAAGTGAGACATATTGAGATGGATTACTGAATACTATTATAGCATACAAGTAGTTTGAGCTACCGGATATTTAAATACATTAAAACTTGGTGTGAACATTTTGGTTAAAAGAATAAATTTGATTTTTATATTACACATGTAGTTGACGTTTCTATCTCCAAATTCTTTTTTAGAGTTCTTTTCTATACACGTACTAAACAAATTTTGTTTATATTGCAGTTTCTTCTTTTAGTAGATTTAATAGTGATATGAGGATATCAGTTTGCTACATATACATAAAATACAAATAGACTGACTGTTGCAATACAGGTCCGTTTCCTCAGTGCGACAGAGAAAACTGGCGAAAAGCAGTCCCTGCATCTCTTTCTAATTTACCAGGTTTATTGAACGCGTGACCTAAATGACCAATGAGAAGGTCACGTGGTCGATAAACCTGTCCCATTAGAAAAAGATACAGATATTGCTTTTCGTCAGTTTTCTCTGTCGCATTGCGGAAACGTGAATGTATGGCAGTATTCAGTCTATTTGTACTATATGTCTATGGTTTGCTACATGAATTTTCGCTTTTATCTTTTATGTGACAAAGTTATCAGCGATATCTAAATAGCTCCAATCCTTCAAAAGTATATGGTTTTATTGTTACATTAATGCTCCATTCTATATCATACCTTTTGTCTGTTAATGAACTTTTATTTGGTTTTCTTGTTATTGACTATAACACCGTTTTTTTTACGCTAAAATCATTATTCAATATATTATAATGTGTAATTTCTCTGGCTGCTAACGAACAGAAGTTTTTATTAACTTTTCTTTAATATAATTATGTATGCAGATTTGTATTTTGATCTTCTCACGGTGCTAAAGAGCAAATCTAATAGTTTATTGTATTTTTCCATAAGATTTCTAGTTTTTCACTGTGTTATGGCTCCTCTTATTTCTTTTCCTACGATTTACATTAATTCATTTAATTATTATTTCTGAAATTTCAAGTTTATACACAGTTTCTTTTGTTCCGCTTATTTATCTAAGATATGTTATTCATTCTTATCTATCTATCTATCTATATAAGGATTTTTACAGCTGTCGCCGCCTTCCTTCTTTCAGCCAACGTCTCCAGTCCTCTCTGTTCTGCCATTCTCCATCTCTAAGGTCTCGTTTTTCCATGGCCTCGTCCACTTCATCCCTCCATGATCTTCGGGGTCTACCTCTTTTTCTCCTTCCTATTGGGCTCCAATCCGAAATCCTTGCTATCCACCTTGTATGATCTGTTCATTCTTATCTATAGATGTGCTTATTCCCTATCAATTATCTATCAATATTTGAAGTCTTTTTTATTTGTTTTAGTCATTGTAATGATTCGCATCCGTACATAAAAATAGGTCTAAAGCTTGTATTATGCTCTAAACTCCTTCAGTGGTAGTATTACCAACTGCGATTATTGTTCTAAGATATTTAATGTCTTCCATGCTTTCGAAATTGAAATTGTTGACTTTAACGTTGTATCTAGATTTACTGACGGTCTCTTATGTTTATGCGCTGGTATTTGGTTTTCACTTCGTTGATTTTACTTGAAACTTTTTTCGTGCTCTCTGGACTTTGTTCAGTATGTCGTTTACATATTTATAGATGTAATCATCATCATAACTAGGAGCTGCTTTGTACCTTGGGCCGTTAATGGATTACATCGTAAATCGGCGCTGTTTCTATTTTAATAAATTGTTCTTTAATTTTTTGACTATTTAAATCGAGAATCTGTATTTTATTCGACTGTTTATTAAGGCAGAGTTTCTTGGGGCCAATTTCTCTCTCAAGGTTTTTGTTTCCCGTATCAATATTACAACAATTTTGCTGGATGCCGACATAGGAAACCCGTTGGTATGTACATACTGTTTCGATATCTTCTTGTCTCGTTATAAAGTGAATATTAGTTTATTAGGAAATATGATATTGTCTAATAATAGTTAAGTTGTTTTGCTTTGCTTTCTCAGACTGCTACCGTCGTACCTTCTGGTATTTGATATTTCAACCGTCAAGCAACAATTCCTATATGCATTAACTTAATGCTGATATCCTGCTTCCCCAATTCAGTTAACAGTCCCGAAACCAATAAAATTGCTACATTCAAGTTTTCTATTAAGCTGCCCAGAACTATAGGTACGCCTTATTATCTTACTGATGTTAGTGCTGTCCCTTATAAGTGAATAAAATATGAAAGAAAGGTTTTGGTAATATAATAAGATCCTTGTGTTACAATATAATGTCTCCGAGAAAGTAAAGTAATATCAAAAAGCTATTCGGATTTAATCCATAGCTAAAATATTAGAATGCTATAAAATAATGCTATATATTAGCATTAATAAGTTTATAATGAATACTAAAGTTTGAAAATAATTAGAGCAAGTAATTTAAATTATCAAAGTGCTTATTAAACAAAAAAATAAAATAAAATTATATTAACAATTTATATTATAATATATTTAAAAACAGTAGCCAAATATTCTTGGAATTCTTCGATGACTAACCTGGTGGATATTTAAATAAATTTTAAGTTCTAAAATGTACCTGCTCTAAAATTTGAAAATCTACGACTAATACAACTACTGGCAACATCGCAGGAGCTTATTTGTGTACGCTAAAGGCTGTATACGGATCCCAAAAATGTTTTATCCAGTTACGGAGTCCACTTGATCCGACGTGTTGGTCGGAGTCTACATAAAGCGCTACTCAGATAATAATATACACGGCGTATATTCTCCTGGAGTTAGTATAATACCGTTTTAGTACGGAGCCCACATTAACCGCTAGAAGTATATATATATATATATATATATATATATATATATATATATATATATATATGATTAAAAATAATAAACACTGAAGCCAAATAAGAAGAATTTGTCAATAGACACTTGGTGGTAATTAGTTTTATATGAAATAAAATTTCGTTCACTATTAAGTTCAATATGGTTAATTTTCCTGTAGAACCATACATCCATCCAGTTGTACAACGTACAAAATGCGTACGTTACGGTTACAATATATGTCAATGCAAATGCAATCTCGTTGTTTGTAAAAATCATTCTTTTGCTGAATAAAACCACTAATAATTCATCCCACAATATCAAGAGATTGTCCAATGTACAAAAAACATAAAAAAATTCCATAAAAGAGTTATGGCTGTCGAAAATAAGACTTTTAATGATGCTGAATCATCGATTATAGTTCAGAATATGACGGTAAAAATAGTAAAAAACTTCTGAATTTTTTATATACATCGATTTGTTTGAAATTTTGAGTTTTAGTTAAAATTTAAAATTCAGTTAAAACATAGCTCATATAGCCCAAAAACTAACACCGGTCAAACCAGTAGAACTTTTATCAAACGTATAGCAGAACATAAAAGGGCTTTCAATATTAGAAAAACTGATTTTACGTATGCACTTTACCTTTTAGACCATTAACATTCTTTTAATGACGAATTTAAAATTATTCACATTTAAAATAAAGGCCTTAAGCTATCTTTATTAGAATCCATGGAAATCAACAAATTAAAAAATACAGACATAATTCTGAATGACTAACTTAAGACAAACAGTTCTCCTCTTCTCAACTTAATTAGTTAAAGACTATAAAGTGTAAAATAGATCACTTGAGAAAGGCACTCTTAAGAAATAGCTGTAGTGATAATCTGTGATCTATGAAATAATTTGTGTGGAAGTGTTAAAAACAAATTTTCCAGTGTTTTATTGCTTATATATATATATATATATATATATATATATATATATATATACCGCCAAACAGACACAAACACAAAAATTTCGAAATTTAGAATGAGATGTATATTTATGTTAAATAATAGTCCATAGTTTATGTAAAACTTTTTTTAATTTCAGGTTTTGCAGTGCTATTAATCAATTTCAGAGGTTCTTTGGGTTCTGGACAAAAAAGTGTTGACTTCCTACCAGGTAAAGTTGGAACAGCCGACGTTAAAGACTGCATCCAAGCCACCGACGAAGCACTAGCCCGATACCCTTGGTTGAATCCTAAACAGTTAGCATTGGCTGGTGGTTCGCACGGTGGATTTTTAGTTGCCCATCTTAGTGGACAGTATCCTGATAAATATAAGGTTGTTGTTGCAAGAAATCCGGTGATAGATGTTGCTGCTATGAGTATTACTTCAGACATACCTGACTGGTAAATAGACACATTTTGATGATTGAAACAAAATGCAAGGAGCATAAACTTTTAAATCAATTGATCAGCTGTCAATAATATATTGACATTTTTTTATTTGAAGTATCAAAGTACTGTAGAGTAGTTTTGTTTCTCTTACCTAATAGTTATACTTACTTATACCGTAGGATTGGTATAAATAATTTCTGCTAATAACAGTATCATATACAAATCTTCCGATAATTTTTTTAATTCATCATCAATGGAGTGTTTGCCGCATTTAGTATTAGCTTCCATATTTGTCGGTGCTGTGCCACTATTTCCTATTATCTCACTACCATTTTCTTCAGATCTTCTCTGACTGCATCTTTCCACCTTTTTCTAGGTCATCCTACAAATTTTCTCCCGTGTGGTCTTTCTTAAATACATTGTTTATAAGGCGATTGTCATGAAATTAGTAAATATAATATATGGGCTCTCTGGAGTCCTCTAAGACAAAAAGTAGCCTTTAGGCCGAGCGTGGGAATGCCGAAAAGAGTAGACTGGTTGAGCATAGCAGTTTAAACTGGTTACAGAGGTCATCGGGAAAAACACGGAAAGAGCTGATGAACTTGGTTCATGGCCTTAGGTTAGGTTAGGTTAAGTCAAACGGGTTAGGTTAGGTTACTGGTCATGTGCCAGTCAAAGGATACCTGTTTACAAAGAAGTTGCTGGTTAATATGGCTATTTGAACTTTCGAAACTGCTACACGGAATAATTCGACCAATGTCATTCCGAACCATTCACGAAAGTTTCACTGCCAAGAAATTTTTTACGTCCCACGTTTTTTCGTCCAACTATCTTGCATTACAACCTGTAGGAACTCACATTTTGTGCTTCTAGAGACGTGGCCAAGGAACTCAAGTTTTCTTTTCTTTATAGTAAATAAAATTTCAAGTTCAATATGTAGTCCTTTCAGCATTGCCTGGACTCTATCACTGGACACTTTGAGAATGGTCTTTAGAGGTACATTTCAAAGGCCTCTATCTTTTTAAGGAGTTACTTATTGTGTGCAACTTTCCACACACCGCATAGGAGTATAAGAAACACATAACACCTAACCATTACGATTCCGAGTGATAGAAAAATACGGTGCTGTCAACAGTTTTTCGTTTTGAAGAATGGAGCTCGAGCTTATTCAATGTGTGAACAAATTTCTTATGAATGGTTGTTAGTCTCCTTGATAATAGTTCCTAGATATTTGTACCGAGAATCCCGCTCAATTACCTGTTTATTAAACACTAATTGTCCACAATCATTGTCAACCTTTTATGAAACGACCATCATTTTGGTGTCCCTGATATAAATATGTAAACCGTGCGTCATACTAACTAGATATTTTATCAAAGAGTCTCTGGAAGTTTCCCAAATTGTTGGCTATTATAGCTGCATCGTTAGCAGCTCTGATGTTGTTTACTTCTAAATGCACCTAACTTCTAGAGATGTTGGCAACCACATTGACACATCTTACTCTATTCACAGTAGCTCTAAATAGATCAGTTGACGTTAGACCAGTCCACTTCTTAAGATTGGGCAGCCAGAATATACCTCTACGTCCAGGGCTTCTTTTACCCTCAATCTTGCCTTGTAGAAGTCGGTATTTATTATTACGTATGATGTGGCCGAAGTAAGCCAATTTTCTGTTGTTTACAAGAACTCCATTTATCTCTATTCAGCTGACTCATCTTCCAATGCTTCACGGAAAATATATTCAGAGTATAAATTGAATAGCAAGGGTCGGATATCTCAGGCGTTAGAGTGCGTGACTACCACACAGAAGGCCGGGGATCGAGTTCCAGTGCTGGAGAGAACATCTAGAAATCTATCAATACTATTGATATACTACTACAATTGATATCAATCATCACATTGATATTTTTAATATCTAGATGTTCTCAATATTTCCAGATTTCTAGTAGCTTCTCGTGCTTACCATTGCCAAAAGTTAAATATATATGATATTTTTTGTTTATTTTTAGGTGTTTCGTTGAAGCAGGAAAGGAGTATACTCAAAAGGGAGAGATTGATAATGATGCACTTACTTTTATGCGTCAAGTTTCTCCTATTGTTCATATGCACAAAGTAAAAGCTCCCACTTTACTTCAAATTGGTTCAAAAGATTTGAGAGTACCACCGCAACAAGGTATAGAGTACTATTTGCGACTTCAGGCAAATGGTGTAAATGCAAGGTAAGTAAGATTCTATTTTATTCTAGTAATCTATTAATTAGTTAATGGTATATCAATTTTTATTCCCTAACTACTACTACGACAATAGTCAGACAGCATTAGTCGAACTATCTAAAACTTTTCATGGACAAAACCTATCCTAAGGCTACTGGTTCCAGAGGGCGATGTTAACGAAGCAGATAACAAATTGGTATACCTGAGACCATTTGTCAATGCGCATAACAGTAGTTATGGGTCTCTAATTCCTTTTGAGGTCTCTCAAATAATAAAGCCTCTTAGTATTTCAAATTGCAGTATTTCTGGAGTATTTCATCATCATCAACCTGTACTGTACGCGTCCACTGCTGGGCATAGGTCTCCCTCAGCTTCCGTCTGTCTCTTTCTTGTGGGGCTTGCATCCAGCTACTGCTAACACGCTTCAGGTCGTCAGTCCATCTGGTTGGTGGGCGTCCTTTACTCCGTGGTGCTTCTTGTCTAGGCCTCCACTCGACAATACGTTTTGTCCATCCGTTGTCTGATAGTCTGGCGACTTGTCCTGCACAGTTCCATTTTAGTAACGCGATTTTTTCGATGGCGTCTGTTGATTATGTTCTACGACGTATTTCTTCGTTTGGGATTCGGTCTCCCAGTCCACGAATATCTGTGCCAATGGTTTGTTGTATTCTGCAAACTTCACCCTCTGGTCCAACCGCTACCTTGGTTGAGGGATTTTGAAGCCGCCGTAGACTGAGGACCTTTCAGTAGTTTCGTCTGTTATGAAAAATAACTTTTAATGCTTTAATTCATTTAAACGCTACGCTTGGTTAGTGCTTGTTGGCGAGTTGGTTTGGGTGTTGAGGGAGGAAAGTTTGGAGATGGGAATGTTTTTGATTTAGACATGGTTTCCCCTGGGACAGGAGGCAGGGGAAATCCATGAGCTCGCAAGACTGGCAGGTCTACTATTTCTAAAGTATTAAAAAAATTGAATAAAATGCTACATATTTCTATAAAATCATATGAAATGCAATCGAGTCCCGAACATTGTCAAATGCGGAAGAAAGCGAATTAATGAAAATAAAATATGGACATTATAAATTGTACATAAAGGAGTCGTTTGGTCCCCTTCTTCCACACTATATCCTAAAAGATCTTTTGTGTATACCCTGTTGGAATTTTGCGTCAGAATCAAACTGACTTTTTTTAATTATGTATTTTCTTATAAATCTTACTACATGCATACTTACGTATTTTGATTATTTAGCTGCTTCTTATATAATGTGTTTTTTACAGAATGAATTTATACGAAGACAATCATCCACTGGGAAGTGTTCCAAATGAATTTGATAACCTAATAAATTCGATGATTTGGATTGAAAAGCATTTGGGCATTGAGGATTAAGACTATATTAATTTCATATATTTGATTTTTTTCTAAAAGTGTGTTTTGCTATTTTAAGAATAAATTTTGTGCATAAAATTGTCCTTTATTGTGTTGATTAATTGGGAAACTTAGAATCAGAAATTATCCTGTATTTGTTTAATATTTATTTAAATATATTTAAATTTGTTTTAAGAGAGAGTTCGGTTTCTGGGTAGTGTTCTGACATTGATTTATTAGAGTTGATTTATTACAATAAATATTACAGTTTGATGCTAAAAGAATTCTTTAGCAATATACTGTGACCAAATCACTACCAACCAAAGAATCCGATAATTTTCGAATTGTTCAAACAGAAAATACGAATAGTTGATTGGTTTATTTCCAATAATGTGTAAATAGATTGTTTCATGTGTAATTATCCATTACACCTGATCACCATTTGTAATAAGAAGGGAACAGCTGTACTACCAGCACGCCTAATAGCAGTTTATAAAATAAGTTTCAGTTGCAAAATAATACACTCTCTTATCCACTCAACATTAAAAAATAGATCGTGACGGAGAGGAAAAAAGGAGATACAATGATAATAGGAGATCATTAGGTATACACGGTTCACTGATCCCAGTTCCAACTGTCTAATAAATTTAGTAATTTTTTTTACTGCTTTAGCTCAATTTTAACTAACTCGAAGTGGCTGGAAATTGCCATACAACCAAGCACACGTGCTCATAGCCAAAATTAATTGTACCTAAAAAGACAGATTTACTCACATGCAGTTTATTCACAAAATAAAACTGCGTCAATTACAAGTTTAAATGTTTATTTTCGCATTTTTTCTCAAAAATTAATGAATCCATTATTCATGATTATGCTTCGTTTTTCAATTGTAGCGACAATATAATTACGAATAATTAAACTTTTGTATTAAAATATTAAATAAAACATTCTCATATTAAAATTTACATTTTCGCATTTAGTTTTACACATAAGAAATAGAAATGTGTTCCTCAATATATTTACTTAATTACTACAGATATTAGATATGCTCGACACTTTAATTATACATTTTTGAGTGCGTTGCATTTTTATGGGAAAGAAATATAATAGCGGCTTCCCACGGCCGGCGATATTGCGGACGTAAGCGGACCACCACGCACCGTGGGAAGGGTCTCGTCCGTGGTAGCACAGGCACGTCCGTGCTGGTGCGTCCTATCAATCTAGAGTCGGTAACATCAAAGGTGCGGTACATGCTCGTGCGACGCGATCCTAGCGCGTCTGTGCTTTAACAGACGACAAGTGCAAAGTTATTTTGCAGTTTTTTGCTGAAAAATGGAATGGACAAACAAAGTTGTTTTTGATTTTTTAAATTTGTATCAAGATGAACGAAGTTTATGAAATTCCATGGCGCCAGAACATAAGAACCGGAACGATGCATGGAACCGAATAAAAAATCAATTGAAGAATATTACTATTTCGATTAAAGAATTAAAAAAGAAGAGAGATAATTTAATGTCGACATACAAAAGGCAAAACAAAGTTAGAGAATCGATGGGAACTGGTAGTGGGGCTGACGATGTTTAGAAGCCTGAGTGGCCTTTTTATGATATAATCAAACACTACTGTCACGGACCTACACAGACTGTTACGGACCGTAGGAAGAGCTCTGTCTGCGGTGCGTTGCCGTCCGTGCTAATCGGCTGTCCGCGATGATCTGTAGAATAGCCGATCGTGGGAAACCACTATAATATAGCGACCAGCCCTATAATAAATGGATTTTAAAAAAAATGATGTGTGGTAGTTTAGTTTTGAGTTTCAGTATTCTTTAAGACACCATTTGCTTCGGTCCGCGATAATTACTTTTTACAAAATAAATATTATTATTACAAAATAAATATTATAACAGCTTTTTTTTAACAGCTTTTCTACGTTTTATTCAATTCAATTTAATTATTATTTTTATATTGTTTCCGTGGAAGTTTATCACACACGTATCCACATAACCACGGAACACAATGAAAGAAGTAAGTTTATTTTAGCTATTATTAGTGAAAGGGTAGGAATTTTTCCGACGATGAGTCTGTCAAAATATTACCAAGCTGAGCAAATGAATTATGAAAATGATACTAATCAGTTTAATACACTTAATACCGATGTAACAGACTGTGTTAGAATAGACAGAGAAACAGTGGCACTAATGATAATATTAAACTCTAGAAAAGTAGACAAGATTCACATTTTTTCTATATAATTAAACGCCTAAATCGATAATGTAACACATTCAGGTAATTAATTAGTTTTGGCAACAAAGTATTTCCCTACCCCATACCTTTGTAAATATTTATCTTTTCAGTAATGTAATAAACGTTTACCGTTGATATTACATTTTCGAGTATTTTCCGAATAATATTCGCACACTTGTGTTCTATTCTGCTAGTGCTTTTAACATGGATCATGACAGAAAAGACAATAAACCTTAATATTACCTACTTTTGAAACAAATATATTGGGACCCATTTGCGAGAATAGTATGTGGAGAATAAGGTTCAAGCACGAGATATGCCAATTATACAAAGAATCATCTATAGCAAATTACGCAAAGTTAGAAATATTGCGGTGGGCAGGTCATCTTATAAAAATGGATAATAATATAACACCTATTAGAGCGCTCAGTGAAACTATGGTGGGACGTCGGCCAATAGGGAAACCAAGGAAGAGGTGGATAGACGAAGGGAGAACCGATGCTAAAGAGAGATTGAGTGTGGATAACTGGAGGACAGCAACAAGCAGAGAGATGCTTGGTGGCGGATGTTGGGGAGGCCAGGGCCCGACTTTGGCTGGAGCGCCATAGGAGAGAGACATATAATATGCATGGCCTATCTGAGATTTTAGTTTCATTTTTATATTTGAGTTGAAAGATTTACTTTTTGTCATTTGCAATTTTTCTCCTGATACTTTTTTTTCTGTACTTTTTATAATTTCCGCGTTCTTGTATTTTCTGATGTTTCTTTTGATTTAGAAATTTCTTTGTTCATTGTGTTCATACCGAATAACATATGAGTATCATACCAAAGAAAATATCAACGATTAAACATCCATCCACCATCTCTGGAGAAAATAAATAATAAAGTAAAATATTTAAAAAACGGAAAAAATCCAGGAGAAAATGGAATAAATCGAGAACTTATTAAATATCGAGGAGAAAAATTAGCTGGAGAATACCATGAGCTCATAAAAATTATCAAAAAAAAAAGAAAAGAGCAAAACTGCTCAATCTGTAATGGATTAGCCTTGCTATATATGGTATACAAAACATTAGCGAAGAGAATTGAAGCAAAATCAGAAGAGTACACACAAAAAATAATACGAGAGTATCAATGTGGTTTTCGAAAAAGCAGATCAGTCACAGATCATATTTTTACATTGAGGCAAACCGAGAGATGTGCTATGAGTATAATATTCCTATTCATGCTGTGTTCTTAGATTTCAAAAGAGCATAGGATTCAGTAAATCGACAAAAATTACTGAATTTATTAAAATAGTTAAAAATACCAATCAAATTAATTAAACTAGTTAAAATGATAGTTAGTAATGTAAGCATAATGATCAACTACAACGGACAACTGCCAGGTAGTTTAACCAAACAAGATTTAAAGCAAGGACATCCCCTGTATACAACCCTCTTTAATCTCTGTCTAGAATGGGTGCTAAGAGATATAGTATATTTGAAGAATAAGCTGGAGTAAGTTCTCAGAATACTAATCTTCGCACCTCGAAATACATAGAAATACGTGCACATCTTCTAACTAAAACGTAATCTTAAAAGAAAAGTTTGCGTTAAATTTATTTGGATATTTAGAACAAAGTAATTAATCCAATCCAATACTGGTTTAAAATAAAAAGATAAACATAAAAAGAATAAAAATTCTATTATTTGTGAAACATACAGTTAATATAAAATATTAAAATACAATGAATTATATTGAAACGTAAAATACATACACAAAAACTGTAAGTTTTTATATATTCCTATTAATAGATAATAATATTCTTAATACTAATAATATTGGAAATAAAAATGAAAATTATATTAGCAATAAAAAATAAACAATGAAGTTGTCGGCAATTAGTTCAAATGTAAAATAAACTTCTGAGCTACAGTTTAAAGTTAAGCTTCCTGATATTCTGTTTCAGGCGAAGTGTTATCCGATCCGGGATGAATTATTATAGGTTCTATACTGCTATCTATTATATGATCAAGCTCCCACATATTTTTCCATAACGTGATTAATACATTTTTGCCAATGTTCAGTCGTTACTTCGGATATTAATTTATGAAAAAGAATAGTAACATCTGACAATTTAGAAGTTGTATTATTTCGAGAAACGTTACTTTTAACTTCGGGTCATACTAATTCAATCGGATTTAGCTCGCAATGATACGGTAGTAAGCGAAGTATTTCAATTCCTCGTTTTTTGACTATTTCCTCAATGACATATTTTTTATAATTTTGTTTATTAATTTTAGCAAGCTCTAATAATTCTGCTTTTGTCATTATATCGTCAAAGATTAAACTCTTAGAAGTTAACCACATTGCAATTTCATCTTTCCTCCATTGAGTAGTGGGTAAACGTTCAACTAATCTAGAGTGGTAACTTGCATTGTCCATCACAATAACTGAATTTTTAGGTATGAATTCAATCATCTGTTCGAAAAATTCTTCAAACACGTCTCCGTTCATCTCTTCGTGATAATCACAGGTCTTTTTTATTCAAACAAAAGTAAACCCTCCTTAAGAAATACATTTATACTACTTATATGGGTAACAATTAATCGTCGACCTTTACCTGTTGGTTCCTTGAAACCAGATGAATATCCTTCCAGAAATGCTTGTCAACATGTTTTTATAGTTTTGTCTTTCCGAACTCTCCCTACAGTATGCCCTTCATTAACTCACGTTTCATCTAAATAATAAATGTTCCTATTTTCTGTCCTCATCTTTTTTTTCTGAGGTAGTCTCGTCTCCAACACACAATTTCTTCGGAATCGATAAGCATTGACTGTCTGCCCACTTTTTCATACTTAAAGTTTAACTCATGCAAAACTTACGAAATACTTATGAAAACCATTCAATATTTCTCTCCGGCACTTCCACAATACATCATTGCCAAAATACATCAAAAAAGACGTCTTTTACGTCAATATAATATCAACAGAGACCCCCTAGTCAAAACAGAGTATAACCGCATCTCTGCCCGAATTAAGAGGGAAATATCTATCCTACAGGCTCGCCAGTGGGAAGATACTACCTCGAAATTGGATTACAGAGATGGGAGTAAATTCTGGAACAAATTCAAAGTCCTAACAAAACAAAAAACTTCTCAACCATCCCATCTGTTGATCGACAACCAAATTATCAGTTCACCTGAACTGAAAGCCGAAGCATTCAGAAACTCACTCTTCGAAAACTTTCAAACACCCAACAATCCAAACTTCGATCGCCTATTCAAAGCCGAAACCGACTATGTGGTAAGAAATACTCTCTTGCATCACACTCCGAATCACGTTCCTATCATGGACCCTATTACTGACAGAGAAACGGAGAGTTATTGCCGCATCGGCAAAAATAACTCTCCCGGACCTGACAATATCAGTAGAAGGTGTCTAAAGCAACTTCCTGAGAGTATAATACCCCTAATCACCAAAACTATTAATGCATGTCTTAAAAATTACTATTTTCCTACTCCTTGGAAAATAGCTAATACAATAATGCTACCTAAAAAGGGCAAACCTCGTACGAACGTGGAATCATACAGACCTATCTCTCTAATCAACTCTCTAGGGAAAGTCCTTGAGCTAATCCTTAAGGAAAGGCTCAGTGACTTTCTGGACACAAACAACATCATCCCCAAATTCCAGTATGGATTCCAACCAAAACGTTCCACTCATAATGCATTAATAGACTTCACAACTAAAGTTTCACAGTCATTAAATGGCAACAGCATCGCCATCGCCACTTTTCTCGATGTTCAGAAGGCCTTCGATCAAGTCTGGCACGACGGACTTATTAGGAGACTACTGGACATCGGCCTCCCTCTTCAATTCATAAAAATAATTCACTCATATCTTACCAATAGAACGGTCAAGGTAAGAGTAGGCGATCAAATGTCCACCCCATTCACTCCTCGAGCAGGAGTGCCTCAAGGCTCAGTACTTGCACCTTTGCTGTATATCACATACAACAGTTCTATACCCACTCCACACATTCCTCATACCCATCTGTTTTTCTACGCGGACGATACTGCTCTCCTGACAACAGGGAGTGGCTACGTTCCCATGACTACCTTTAGAAGAGCACAAACTCTACTAAACGGTGTCGAGAATTGGTGCAATAAGTGGAGAGTTACCCTAAACACCGCGAAAACACAAACCATTGTGTTTCGCGCCCCATTTACATCTGGGCGTCTTGCAGCCAACAATGTTGAACAAACGCCCCTGTACCTAATGGGAGACAGGCTCGTGACTAGCCCGACAGCTAACTACCTAGGCGTCCTATTTAATAGGACGCTTAATTGGGAAGCTGATCTAAAGGCAACTTTAGATAGGGTCAGAAACAGAGCCCGACTCCTAGTACCACTTGCAGGGACGTTTGGCAAGACGAATAACACCACTCTCACACATACTTATAAAACCTTTATTCGACCCGTTATAGAGTATAAGGCTCACTTATACTGCCTTCTAAAGGAGAGTCAGAGGAAGAAGCTGCTCTCGACGGAGCGTAGAATCCTACGCAAAACTTGTAGAAAAAGATGGGACTTCCCCTCACGTGAAATCCATAGAATGGCCAACACCACCCCTATTCTCGAGAGAATAAAAACTCTCAACAGGAACTTCACCCTCAGAACTATTAACGGTCCTCCATCCAACACCCAAAACACACTAAAAAGTTCCTGCTCCTTCAGAGGACACACAGTCACCCGGATTCCCAAACGAAAATTCCCACATCCTCCCTCAATATTAATGCAAACATGCATCGATGATCTTCCGGCAGACTATTTTGAAATCCTAGAGGCCACTCCATATGCCTATCGCATAGCCTAATCAATCATCCACCCCCAATCATCCTTATCACTCACCTATCCCATTCCTAACCCCGGACAGGGGGAGATTGGTTTTTTGCGGTTTCCCAATCTCGCTACTAAACGATACCTGTCCGTCCCTGAGAAAATAGCCGCAACTATTTTCTCACCTGACCCGACAGCCGCAGGCACTGTCTACCGAAACCCCCAAAACCTCGCCGTTGGCGAACACAAACAACAACCGCGAGATTTTAGTGCAATACACTAGTCTCGTGTTGTTTGTGAACGCGTAAACGACACTGGAAAAGGGATAAAAGGGAAACGGTGCAGGCTACTGTCGGATCAGTACACTGACATTCACTCACAAATACATACACACACACTTACAAACTCCACATTCCAACAGTGAAAGGGGTCCTCTTTCATGCTACCGATGCACCCTCACCCTCGGGACCCCCGTTACTTTACACGGGATCTGTGGGCGGCCGGGGAGAATCTAGACGGTTAGAGGAGTCTGTAACACCGAAATGGTAGCGTCCGTCACTGTTGGAATTCATACAAATTCACATTGAGCGAAGTGCGACAAGCCGACTCTCGAAAGCCGAGGCGCCTCCACTCACGAGCACACCCGTCCACGAAATTTCAGTGCAATACACTGGTTACGGGGACGGGTAAAGCTCGAGACTGCACAGGACCAATGGTCACTAGAGACCCGGCCTTGTCGTACCTAGCCCAAAAAAAAACAAACAAGACAAACTGAAAAGACGCAACTAACACTACAAACCCCTGTCTCTCTGATTCTCTGGCTCTCCGAAGTCAACTCCTCCAGGCAAAAAAAGGTGCAAACAACAACAACAACAGAAGAAACGGAGAAGTCTTTGCGCCGGCGGTTTCCGGGCGTTTGCCATTGTACGACCTCAATAAAACATACAATCTCAAGTCTGAAGAGGGTCAACCGACCCTAAACGGACACAATCATTCTTTCCTATCGAAATAAAGATTTCCTTAACCTATCCCTCAAAGAATGAACATTGAATCGAATCAAAACTTTCCAAAGTTTGTCTCTACTTATTGTGGGTAAATCGGGATCGTCGGTAATGGCTTGTAAAACTTTATCTAAAGTTGATATTTCTTTGTTAAAAAAAATGAGTGGACCATTCTACGAATTGCATTTTTGAAAAATTCATCCACATTCACTTTCGACAATTTTGGTCTTCCTGGTCTCGGTTTGGGTGGCGTTATATCAGCTGACTTTTTCTCATTTAAAATGTTATATACAGTTGATTTTGAATATCCCATTACTTTAGACGAAATTTCAACTATACTATCAACAGTATTGGAAGGATTGTGTTGCTTAAAATAATTGTAGACGTTAAGGATAACACTCTTTTCGTTAAGTGATAAATCATTCAACTTTAATTTTTTAACTGTTGTATAATCACACGTTAATTCCATTCTATAAACTCGCTATTCGCTCTTGCAAAAATTAACTGTGTCAGATCTCTTCACTCGCTGATAATCGACTAAACAAAAATTTTCTGATATTAATGAATGACTATTTAAAGACTATTAACCATTTTATTAATAATTGGTTTTCCAAACAAAATCGAAATTTATACTATTTAAGATAGCGTTCACATTTATCAGAAACCATCTTTCGCTAATCGACTTTTTCTATCCAAACTATCAAAAGACCATTAACTAAATACCTATGTATTTTAAAAGTTTCTTTATTTCTTGTTAGTTAACGGGTCATTATGATAACGACAAAAATAACCATAAATACCGTTACTAAAATAAACAGATTTATATAAATATAATATGCTTTGAAAATGGTTTAAATATCTACCAAACCGAAACAAATAATGTAATACCCTTAAAGTACGTCTATGACCAGCTGAAAAAAACCCTAGCCTACACAGTTCTAGCAGGATTTAAATTTTACGATAGTCCATGTGGCAAGGAAAAATTTCGATCTAGATAGTCAAACCCAACGTAAAATAAGCTAAAATATTGACGTTGTACGAAAAGCACACGTACTAAAATATGCTTAACAATTTAGTTTTTTTTTCTGAGAATTTACTCCAGCTTATTCTTCAAATATACTATAGCAATTTAAACAGAACAGGGAGTTTAAGAACAAAGTCCACATATTATATATTCTAATAATCTGTATTCTGAAGTAGTTAACTGATATTTCGAACTGATGATTCTTAACAACACATTTTCGGGATATATATTTAGGCATTTAGGGATATTTTCAGTGTTTTTATGTTTTTAATTGAAAAAATATGCATTCTTTGCTACAACTCTGTCACGATCCTAGAGCACTACTTATAAAAAAGTTCTTACACATTTTAATATTTAATATATGAATATGTATAAGCAATCTACTAAAACAAACTAAAATTAGAAGTACAAGCACTTATACATCTGATTTTGTAAACAATTTTATATATTACTTACTTTAATAATATAAACAGCGAAACTATTACGTTTCAAATTAATAATTCGACTCATCCACGATTACGCAGCATAGAAGAAAAACATGCTTTTACTTTAAACCCCTATATTTTATATATACAAAGTTAAAGATTTTTTCTGTACAAATTAAATATAATTATATATTTACACGATAAAAAAACAATGAACTATATTTAATTTCTTCTCCTTCTTACTCGCGATATCCTCCAAGCATTCGGCTCTTCATATTTATTATACAATGGTTCTAACCTCTGGTTCTTCTTAAATTTACTGAGTTTTGTAGGATCGGAGAATTTAAAGAAGGCAGGAGCGAACTCGACCAACCATTTTGGATCTATGGTTGTAACTTCTCTCATGTACTCTTTAGTTGTTTGCACCAGTTCGTGGTAAATTACCCTAAAAATAAAATAATTGTTGTTTAAAAAGTTTCTGAAACTGTTTTCATGTGGCATGTCTAAGTTTAATGCCATTTACATGGGATTCAGCCATAATTTATTGTAATGAAAATTACATTTTTTAACTGTTGTTTGACATTTGCAAACTTCGAAAATCGTTTTCAAAAAAGATTATTAAAAAAAATTACAACCGAAAGTTCACCGTAAAAAACTTTCGGTTATAAAAAACGCACCTCACTATTTTTTGAAATAATCTTTTTGAAAAGAATTTACGTAGCGAAATCGAAACGTCAAACAGTAGTTAAAAATGTAATTTTTAACTACAATCAATTGTCACTTAATGCCTTACAAACATAATATTTTATTGTTGTATAATTGTATAATTTTTTCTTAGCTGCTCACAGGCTCACAGAGTGTGAGAATAAATTCCTCCCCCTATTTTTTGAACCAATACACTTAAAATAATAAAATTTTGAATACGTGAACTAATGTACCTGTATATTAATTTTATGAGATGTTTTAGCAACACAGTTGTTCAGTGGCCATGCCTAGTAGGTCCAGTGTATGCCTTAACCTTGCCTAAACAATAATCCAAGTCCACTTGATATGTTTCGCAGTTTGTTTTGTGAGGGTTGCAATAAGTTTGCAACGTATCATTTTTAACAGTTATAATCCCATAAGTCGTGGCCACTGTTGATCAATTACCTCCTTTCGTTGTTATATTACGAAAGTTGGTTTGTTTCCTACCTTTAGTATGTCGTAATCCTGTTTCATGACAAACTGTATTGATGACTTACCTCTTTCATTGGTGTTTGCACTGCCCCAGGTGAGATGGTACGCATTATTACAATCTTCACTGGTTCATCTCACTTGTTGGTTGTTTGCGATCAACATATGGGAGCTATGCTGATCAGACAATTATCTCTTTCATGCTTCCTTCCTCTACAATCTTCATCTTTACCGTCGTTAAATCCCTGGAACAAAGATTCGCAAATATACATCGAACCTTTATAGCAGCAGTATCTTCTGTCGACGCTGCCTTACTATGCTGGAGGTTCGCCTGCAGCACTTTGGAACAATCGAAGACTCTGATGGTTTTGAAGGATACCTTTCCAAGTCTGCAGTACGCCTTGAAATGATCAGCCATCAATGCTTTTTAAAAGATCTTCTCAATCGTGCAACTAGAATTTGTGCATCCTCTCCAATTTTCCTATTTTTTTAACAATCAGTCATAATCCTCACCAACACAATAGTCACATTTTTTTGTATACTCTAGCACAATTTACCCACAGGGTTCCTGCGCTAAACGATGTTTTATGGAAATGTAGAAGTTGATTTTGACTTTCGATAGGAGCCTCATCCACTGCTTACTCCAGTTTATTGATGTTCAAATCTGCTTGAGCCTGATCTAGTTGAGTATCAGGATGGTGTCTATGTGTCACCGCAATCCTGCATACTTTTGTGATATGGCTATATGACCTCGTCTGCTCGTTAAGTTCCTTGATTTTTTAGCGAATCTTTGTTGCGGGGGGAGTATTATTCTCTCGAGGTCTCTTTGATTTTGGTACCCCGCTTTGGTTATATGAGAATTTGCTGTGATTCATACTCAGCAGCAGCAGCCATTTTTTCCACTTCCTTTATTCTCTTTTGTTCAGAGAGGTTTTTTTGATACCTGGCTCAGAGTCTGTTCTTCTCAGAACACTTTCTGGCTGAGTATTTGGGGCGGAGACAGAATCTGTCTCTACAGTTTCCTCTCTGATCGTTTCCGTTTGTTTGTATTGACATTTGTTAGATAACAATATATGGCATATGATATGTCATTTGAAATTTCTTGTATAATTCAGTATGTTCCTAGATTTTCCTTCGATTCCCTCGTGGTGTTTTATAATAAAAATTATTGAATTCAGAAAATCATCTGAAAACTGACTCCCAATGAAAGAATAACTCTTTGTTGTTTTTAGTAACACTTTGAAGGGGATACTGGAAAAGTAAATTGACCTGTTCGAGATTATTTCATACAAGCTGAAGACTACCAAATTATTAGGTATAACTAAGACTTTTTTATAATATAGTTCGAGAGCTCGACAAGAGCCTTCAAATGTGTTATGTCTCGTCTAGACAAGCACTGTATGATTTCTACAACCGTTTGAGTTGTTTTAGCGAAAATTGTTCGATTTTAAGACACCATGTATTCTTTTCAGTTTAAGAAAACTACTGTCATTTTTAATTTAATTAATATGATTACTTTTTCATTAAATACATACTCAGTGATTATAATAAATCCATTATATTCCATTGAAGAATATATTACGAACTTTTGGACGTTATTAATGTATAGATCCGAAGTCACCATTTATAAATCTCTTCGGTTTTCCAAGAGTTGTCTAAATTATGTAACTAAATTTTGAGTATTCCTGCGACCGCGAAATGATCGTTCTCATGTTTAAGGGATATGTACACGCCGCTGTTAAAATGAGTGACATTCAAATAAACTAACGTTTAACAATTCTTTGAGTAGATGGCAGCACGTACAACATATTCTAATATTTTAATTTTCCCGAAATTTAATTCTCTGAACAGCGACATTGATGTCAGCGATGCCAAGTACTGGAACTTATGATCGGTACAGTTCGCTCTCAATGTCAATCTTTTCTGAGGAAATTTTTTCCTCAGAAAATTTCACATTTTATCTCATTTCTAATTATTACTCAAGTAAATTTCAATAATTTTTTTCACTTATGGAAATATTTAAATATACTGACAAAAATCAATCGATGATTACATAATATTGGTTTGTCTATAAAAATTAAATTTAACAAAAAGTGAATAAAACTGGAATTGTTTTTAGATAAGCCACACGTAAGCTAGAGCTTATGTAATCTATATATTGACTTCCAACCATAATTTGTCACGGTGCCAAGGATAAAAATAGTATAAATTGTATTAAGACACTGTGACGTTATACAGTCATGATTGAAGGTCAAACGAGACAAAAATGTTCACTGGGTGGGGGCGTTTTGCTAAATAAAACCGCGTGATTCGAATTTCCATGGTTACTGCATAACCACAAAACTCAGTAAAGTTAATTACAGGTACAGTTAATTTAAAAATTACGGCAGTATGAATAATTAACGTTTGCTTAAAATAATTCTTTTTCGATAGTTAATCATTTAACGTAGTTATTTTGTACCTAAGTTCAAAAATTATTACATAATAACAAATTATAGGCAGGTTACAAGTAAGTTATGACATGAAGTTATTTAAGTAGTTACGAAAAATTTTATTCCTTTCTTTGGAAATTTTAACTAGATATCATTAAAACAGACAGTTTACAGTGTACGCACATAATCCTAAATTGAAATAGTGACGATAACTGTACCTAAAAAGTATATAAATTTTAACATTGTGACATACCACCTTATAGAGAATAAAAAGGCAAGTAGCCAGATTCAGCATTAAGTTAAAATGGTTTGTTAACGAATGTGATATGGTTCCAAAATTTGAACATGGGGTGCTAAAATGTTCACTAGATATAATAAAAACTGAAGAATAGAATTAAATATTAAAATAAGATACATATTTCTTTGGCATATAAATTTCTAGTGTGTTTTGTTTTTGCATTATGTCTTACCAAAGCCATTATTATATTTAATATTATATCCTTGGGGCTAGTAGTTCTTATCAGATTTTTTGCATACCGTACTTTCCCACGCTATACGTGTATCTTTGTATAATGCTATTAACATTCTTCTTAATATGCTTTCAATATTTATTGCATACTTCTGATTCCACGGAGAATTTCTTCAGTTGCTATTACTGAAATGATCAAATAACGGGCATATTTTATGATATTTTATACTGTTTCTTTTCCTGAGTCTTTTAAAAAACGTGACTTCTTATTATTTAGTTCCCCTTTTAGCCGCATCCGAACTCTTTAAAAACGGTATGACAAAACGTAGAGTAAATATTCGTCACAAGTGAGACAGAAGAACTGTTTTGACGAACCAGCAAGGTTTTTCGTGGGAAACAAGAATGTTATAAGACAACTGAAAAAGGTTACCAATTTACCAATAAGTGACAGGGGGTACGTCCTCTGACGCATCGCCTTTAATAATGTCTGCGAAGTTGCTAACAAAACGTGAGAAATAAACAATTCCAGACCACGCCACGGCCAACAAATTACCATTATTAAGTATTTAATTACAGCTTTCTATAAGTAAATTAAATATTCGATTTTTTTTCTTACCATTCTGGCTGCCTATTAAATAAGGCACTTGAAGGATGTATGTAAACAACCTGACTGTCTACTAGTGCCCTATAACCTTCCTGAGGATCCTTTTTTCCAGCGTTCCTGAAAAATCCAGAACAGATGGCCTTCTGTACTCTCACAGTGTTCCTTTCGGCGGATACTACGTCCAATTTATGACGGTCCATAATTCCTAACAGTTGTTTTCTCACATCTTGCGCCCTCTTTAATGTCCGGATTTGTACAAAATTCTCGTAACACCAAGCATTAGAAAATTTATTGTTTTTCCAACTATTATATACTGCCAAAAGCGTCAAGTGGTCACCTTCGGGTTGATTGAATTTTGCTTTTTTCTGGTCTGCCAATGCTTGTTTATCCTTTGGCCGGTAAAATACATTTTGAACAGATAACATACTGACTATTGTAAGAATTTCGTCTGAGCATTGTAGGGCAACTGACATTATCAACATCTTTGAAAGATTTGGTTCCAAGGGAAATTCTGCCATCTGTAAGATATATAGAATTATTTTACTTATCTTTGAGCAAAGGATTAGTTTTGGGCAATGAACATAACCTATCGTGACAGTGTTGCCATATTTTTTTGAATAATGTATATGTACCTATGTTTAACATTTAAAAACAGAATTTAACGAAATTATGTTTTTAATATTTTTTGTTATGAGAAGCTACGATTTCTGAGTTTATATAAAAGAACATTCATAAATTATTATTTTTTTTACATTAACTAAACGTTAAACTAAATAATATTGTTAGTAATTGTGGTTTTTTCTAATATAGATAATAACAAAAATAATTTATCTTATTTTTTAACAATTTTATGAAACTATGATTCAAAAACAATTAGAATTTATCCTCTTTTATCATATATATATATATATATATATATATATATATATATATATATATATATATATATATATTTATATATATAAATATATATATATATATATATATATATATATATATATATATATATATATATATATATATCTTTTTCAAAGGCAAACTTATGAAATTTTTACGGTAAGGTGGCTAAACTGATGTGTTTCTGTTTGTTTTCGATTTTTAATTGATATGTTATGTGCTCTTGCCCAATTTTAAATTTAAGATGCGAGAGTAAGAAAAAATTGAGGATATGGCAACACTTTCAATATGTTAAGCTTACATGTAGTGTAAAATACACATTATATAACCCCATTATATAAACCCATATACATATAATACAAGATAGATTAATCGTTGCAATACCCGCTCGTTCTTAAAATAAACATTTATTTTAGAAGAATTCACCGCGAAAACAGATTAACTACATATTAGTTAACAAATGCTTTAGAAACTGCGTTTAAAAGAATCACTACATCGGAACTACGTTTCTTCTGATCATAATGCTCTTGTGGTCAAGATCCAAATTAATGGATTCAGAGAAAAACAAAAGTCACAGGATACATCTATACTTCAGAACAAAGAACGTTATTAATAATTTTAAGCGCCTTACTGTTAAAAAAATGTCAAAAGTGTGTGGAAGGGCCATCGAGCAAAAAGACAATAGAGGGAATGTAAAGGTAGTGGGGGCAAACATATTGTTAGACAGGAAGTGCGATCTTTAAAGGTCACATTAAACAAGGAAAGAGAGTCTCTCTCCTTGTTTGACATCAAATTTAGTTGGGTTATGTTATTGTTTGTCCCAAATGTCACATGAAATCTTATTTATATTGGAGTTTTTTAACAATTGTGTCGCATTTTAGACTCTTATCATTAATAATTAATTAAAACTTTCTCGTCTAAGACACATTCTGAAAAATATTATATAGCTACTGTTGATAAGTGTCGGAAAATTTAAATTTCGCGCATTCGCATTTCCGGATATGTCCGCCATCAGAGGCCACTTTTTTGGTCTCCTTTTCATAAGGATTAGATTCCCTCTTTTGTCTTATTGCTCGATGGGAAGGGCATATAATCAAATATTTATGAAATTGTAGGACATGAGTAGCGGGTATATATCCAATGAAATTGTCTCATGTCTTAGTTAAAGTAAGAGACAAACTTATAATTGATGAGCAAGAAATAATAAACACTTGGAGCTCGTATATTATGGGGAAGTGTAAAGATCCTAGGACAGATTATATAGAACTTGGCAGTTATAAGAAGATTAACAAATCATATTGTCAGAACAACTGTTGAACTGCTCAAAATACAAGAACCAACCGGTGTGATACCTAGAGATTGGTTAACATCAACATTTGTACCGCTTCCAAAAAATAGAGACCGTGACAATGCACCGATTACAGACTCATTAGTCTTATGAGCCATATTCTTTATAAATGGGGAATTAAAAAAAGTGCAAAGATGGTATCGAAGATATAGTTGTTTTCTCACGGGCTTTTGGGACACCTTTTTCACTTAACGTGCTCCTTAAGAAGGGATTAAATTATGAAAAGGATTTCCATAGGATACAATATGCTAATCTAATTAAAATATCAAAAAACCTGAGTTGATAATCGAGACATACGAATACCAATAAAATTATTTGGTGACAAGTGATAAATGCAAATAAAACGCGACAAAATTATCGTTAAGAAAGCTCTTCGCATATGGCATAAAAATAAACGAGAAAATGATCAATAATATTAAGGATACAAATCAAATGAAGAAAACTTGCAAAGGAGTAACGCTATTCGGGAAATTTTCGGGAACAACCACAAAATGTATAAAAATTTCCTATCTAGGTAACATTCATCGAGGTAAGCAACTCGACTCTATTATTAAAACTAATAATAAAGGATAAAATAGAAGGACGAAGTGGAGTTAATAGAAAACTAGTATCATAGCTGAAGAACAATCGAAACTGAACATATATACGCAATGTCAACGTCAGGGAGACCGGACAATGGACATAAAGAAGATAGTACTTACCCTTCGTCCTAACCTTGTCAGTAATCCTTCATCATCAAGCGCTGACAAAGAATGTAACTGTTCCAAAGCCATAATTAACGACTCCACCGGTGGAGCGTCCATGAAATCGAAATGAAGCAGGTCGTTGATACCCATCGTTTTAAGCTGTAAGACTGTTGTTGCAAGGTTGGTTCGTTGAATTTCAGGTACAGGTGTGGGAAGCATTTCATCCCTGTATGCTCTCTCTGTATATAGTCTGTAGCATTTACCAGGCCCAGTTCTACCAGCACGACCTGCTCGTTGTTTTGCTTGAGCCTATAATTTAAAGCAACATAAATTATATATTATAAATAATATACACTATTTTGTTGTTCAACACAAAATAATAACAACATAATCACGAGAAATAAAATGCAACTACAAAAACTCTCTTTGTATATGTGTCCTTATTGAATCTGATTATTTATTAACTTGTTTTTTAAAAACAAAAGTTTCAACAATTGAAAAAAGTCTATTCAGAAAATACTACCTCTATAAGAAACTTTTTTCTTTATGGATTATTTCTCTTTTGTTATTCTTATGTTACCATTAATATATTCGACATAAGTCAATACTATTTCGGTTGGAGTATCTACATTAATAAAAATGAATCGCCGAATTTTTTGTTCAGGCATCACCTCAGAACGACTGTACCAAAGTAAGACAATTCTTTTTTGTTGTGTTTGTTATTATCAGGAGAAGGTTTGTGTAAAAGACAATATTCAAAAAAAAATGCGCGGAAAGACTTCAAAAACAGTTTTTCTCTCATTTTAAATCGCAGTATAACTAATAGATGGTGCTATACTATGAAAAACAAATTAACAAAATAAATATCAATATTGATAGATTGGTAGATTAGTATTGTAGCGATACCACACTGAATATACCGGTTATTTTTCGGTCACCGAAGTCAAGCAGTGTCGGTTGTGGTTAAAGTTGGATGGGTGACCGCTTGGGAACATAGCATGTTGTTGAAATGTGAAACCTTCCTTCTCCGAAAAGGCTGGACTAGTGTTGTGTCAATAGCGATTGATTAGTTCGTTTTGATGCAATCACTTCACAGTATTGAACGACCGAATCCCGGTAGTTCATAACAATCCAATCGTATGGTGACAAAAAACTATTGACCGACTGCGCCGATCGAGATCGAACAAAATCGCACAGCCAATACTCTCATTACTTTAGGTCATCGGTCCATCCTCACTTGCGATAAAGACCGATATATGCCATGCGACTGAATGATTGCGTTCGTTTGAATGATTGAAAAATTAAAACACTACATATTGAATTGCGTGCAAGGCAGCGACTTAGCTAGAGACCGAGAGTATTGGAGTTAATAAATATTCTATCGGGCGCAAGCGATTGCTTTCGCTAGAGTTGTTAATAGTTATTAGGTAGTTAAAATCATAAAATATCGCAAAAATAAAATTTGCACAATGACAATATAAATATTTATATTTGGAGGCAGCACATATTTCAATATAAATTTATAATTAACTTGAGTTACACTAAGAACCTAAAAACAAAAACATAATAAATTCTATCTTCTCGAATATTTCTTAAGAATATAAGCCCTGCTCGCACTAACATAAACGTATGAAGGTGAATACACATATATGAAATACGATAAGCAATACTACCGGTTTTCAGTCGATTCAGCTCAAGCAATCGGTTACTTGTTATTTGTTTTAAACGGCAACGAAAAGTATTGAAACAAACGAACGATTGAAATGATTCGATCGTTTTCAAAGTCGGTCACTGATTGATTTGGTCTTTGTAAAATGAACGATTGACACAACACTAGGCTGGACCAATTTATATGACATTTTACATGTGTATTCTGTTGGTCTGAGAATAGGTTGTTATTATTTTTTATACTCCTAAGGAGTAAGGGTGGTTCACTCCAATCATTTTTTCCTTATTTTTAAACCATTTTTTTTTGATTTTATGATGTGTCATTAAGAAATATATACAGTCTTTAATTTTCACCTCTCTATTACTAATCCCTTTTTTTTAATAGCCATATTAGTGTCACAGAGTTAGTTGTCATACTTTTCCGAAATGGCTAAATCGATTTTTATGAAATTTTCCATGTGTATTCTGTAAGTCCCGTGTACGTATTTCCCGTGCTTTTGGCTTCTGCAATGACAATAAACAAATTACAAGGCCAACCGTTTTAAGTTTGAGGAATTAACGTTGTATATTTATTTACCATAAAAAAATAAAAAATATTTTTATCAGAAAGTATTAAATTGATTTTACTTTTTTCACGCATATGTTTGAGGGTTTTTTTTTGTTTTATTTTCTGTTAATTTTTTAGATCTAAAGTTCGCCGATTCAGCTAGTATTTGTTAATTGTTCGCTCAACTCTGTGTCTACATGATTTCTTGATGTTCTACTATTACTTTATGTTTTCCCAGTGCTTACATATATTTTCTCTAAAACTTTATTGTAACACTTTATATGTGGGTCGACAGAAAGTAAAAGATGAGCATCAGAAGATTGTGTATCAAGTGAGTTACGCGTTACTGTATGGTCACGCGTCTTTGTTTTATAACATTTTGAAATGGGGGGCGGCCATTAAAAATCCCGCCAAATGTACGCAGTCTGATTAGGTTTTTAATTGTAATGGTTTATTTTACGTAGTTTATGCCTAGGGGTGAAACAATTAATTCAGAATTCTATTTCGAAACTCTTCAAAGACTAGAGCGTCCAACACAGAATAAACGACGTGGTATGCCATCGGCAAGATCTTCAACATCTACAACGAGAAATTTTCTTGCACCCTCCTTTCAGCTTGAGTGGAAATGAGTTTAGAACCGACGAAGAGCTCAAAGATGAAGTGATATCGTGGCTGAGACGTTTGGCAGTAGGGGAATACAATACCGGCATTGAAAAACTGTTTTCAAGAAACAATAAATGCCTTGACAACGAAGGCAACTACATTGAAAAATAGAGTAAGGTACTGTGATTTTGTAAATAAAATTTTGTGTTGTATTTTTTGTTTTTAATTTTTATGCCAAAACGTTCTTCACTTTCTGGATGACCAATATAAGTGTAGTGAAGATTGAGTTACACGCTTAAGAGGATCTATAAAATCTAAATAAACAGGAGTCCTATCTTATCAAAAAAGTATAACCAAATCTATGTTAAAATTACCTGCGAAATTGGTGTAACTACCAACGAATCCATTCCAGTTTTGGAGTTGTAGACTTTTTGTTTTACGAAGCCTGGATCCACTACGTAATAGATACCATCTATCGTCAAAGACGTTTCTGCTATATTTGTAGCGATCACAACTTTTCTACTCCCAGGTGGCGCTGGTTCGAAGATTCTTGTCTGCATCTCTGAAGGCAAGGCGGAATACACAGGAAGAATTATAAGTTCAGGTACATCCGGACCTACAAATGCAATTACGATTAGAAAGCGGATAATATTCAATACAACATTACCAAAATATGCGCATTATGCTACAAATATGCCGTTATTTTCTCTAAATTTGCCTAAATAGGAAAATGCATATTAAAAATACTCAAAATTAAAACAAAATGTTAAACATAAACATTTATGTTAAATACATATTTATTTTTCACATAAAAACAAATGGAATGACACAAAAACTGATATTTTATTAAAAATCTAAAACATTATAATATTATATTTTTCCAGTATGAATTGATAATGAAATATTTTTCAAAATCTTCAACTAAAAACTTTTGCTTTATATCACTAAAAATGTGTTACACTTAAAAAGTTCGTTCTACATCTACTGCGAGATATATAGACGATATATATTTTAATTTAGGAAGTAAACTAATTTGCCTTAAGATGTTCAGAAAAGTTGTCTTCAAAAATACGTACAACTTTCCTCAAACAATCGAAACCATCATTTTTTTCTAATGCATTATCTAATTTGAATTCCTGTATCTCTGTGAATTTTTTGACAATAAGTAGAAAAAGTGTTAACTTTTCAGTAACATTAACCGAATCCCTTAATTGTAAATTCCTTTGTTCCAATGTCTTTATTATATCTGGTAAAATACTAAAATTAACTTTAATGAACATCAGTTATTTAGCAATTTGTACGTTACTTAAAATTTCTTGACTTTCAGTTACACACTGTGAGTCATTTTGAATATACACAATGTCTTTTATGGCACCAACATGATTTTCGTAGAAAATTGCTGCTTTAATCCATGTTTCCCATCTTATAATTACGGGCTCTGGATGCAAGCTTACACCTGGTACCTGCAAATTTTTCTTTATATATTTTCACACGTAAAGGTGCTTTCAAAAATACTTTTCTAAAGTTTGAAATTAATTTATTGACTAATCAAATGCGCTTTTAAGAAATTCTAAAAGTTCTAAGAAGAAGAAGTGACGTATACGTCACTTGTTTCGATAAATAAATATTTCGATAAAATATTTTCAAATGTTGTCCTATATTAAAAATTTTCACTTTGTATTTCTTTTGGCAAAAAGAAAGCAGAGGAGTGTTTGTTTAATGAAACGGCCTACAGTCATATTATTGGGTTTCTCTGCTTGTTTTGCAGCTATTAAATAAGGTTTTCTCGTTCATCCTCTTTTGAGGCGCCAATTATAAGATGCACCAGATATGGACCATATGCATTTGTACATTCATCGACAATTAGAAAAGAAACTTCTCAATTACTCCGGCATACAATACATTCACATTGCCCATTCTTAGTGTTGCCTCCTTAGGAATAACGAAGTTACATTTTTCTTTTTTTTTTATTCATCTTGATCTTGAACATTTTGAATAGGTCTATTAATCAACTGCTGAACGGGTCGTAATGTAATCTTTTTTTGCTTCCACTAATGAGTCGCAATGTTTAAATGTTGATCGAGTTGAAACTTCTCATAGAACATCTGTAAAAAAAATGTCCCTGGCTATTTTTTCAACTGAATACCTAACAACGGAGAATACAGAAATAAAACAGCTGGAAATAGACGAAGGTAAACAAATCAAAGGAACAGACAAGTATAAGTATTTACGTTTCATAATATCAAACAAAGGAACAACAGAGGAAGATATAAAAAATAGACTGGGACAAACAAGAGACTGCATACGAAAATTGAACCTGGTACTATGGGATAAGAACAACAGCATGAAAACAAAGAAAAAAATATATAATATCATGACAAGAAGTATCCTCACTTATGGGTGTGAAAATTGGACAATAAATAAGAAAACCAAAAACATAATAAGAGCAACAGAGATGGAATTCCTAAGGAGAAGCTGCAGAGTAACAAGAAGAGATAGAATAAATAACATGGAGATTAAGAGAAGAATGGGAATGAACTCCGACATAATAGACTACATCGAACAGAAGAGGTTAACCTGGTAAGGATATGTCAGAAGAGCAGACCAAAATCGGTGGATAAATAGAATAACAAAGTGGAGCCCGATAGGAAGAAGAAAGAGAGGCAGACCCCGAAGATCTTTCAGAGATGAAGTGGACGAAGCAATGAGAAGAAGAAACCTGCAGGAAGGGGACTGGCTAAACAGGAAAAATTGGAGAAAACGGTTGAGTGAAGGAATACAGTGAAAACTGTGGAAATCCCTGTATATATACATATCTGTTTTTTCAACTGCATCTGTGACTCCTGTTCTTCTTCTTATTTCTAGGTTTGGTAATTTATCTCTGACGGTAATACCTAATATTGATCTTTCCATAGCGCGTTGTGTAACTCTTATTTTATCTACTGTTCTATTTGTCAGAGTCAGTGTTTCTGCCCAATATGTAAGAACCGGTAAAACGCACAGGTTAAAAACCTTTCTTTTTAAGCAAACTGGGATACTCGACTTGAAAATACTACTAGACTACCAGTCTACTAACAAGATATTCATAAAGATCATCAACAACTGCTTAAGAAATGCATTAGATGCTGCACGGCCAAGAGAGCAAGCTGGTTTCAGATGTAGATTCAGTACCCTGGATCATATCCACACTCTTCGAAAACTAATGAGTAGAGCTAAAGAATATCAAATACCGCTAGCATTAACCTTTATAGATTTCTGAAAGGCTTTCGATTCTATATATCCCAATGCAGTAATAGAAGCTTTGACCAACCAAGGCATTGACAAACCGTACATAGAAACTTTAACAAATATATACAGACAAGCAAAAGCTAAGTTAAAACTTTATGAAAACACTCCAGAATTTCCCACTACTAGAAGCGTCCAAAAAGGAGACGCAAAATCACCAAAGCTCTTTACTATAACTCTAGAAAATATATTCAGAAAAATGAACTTTCAAAACAAAGGCCTATCCATTGAAGGAGAATAACTCAGCCATCTAAGATTTGCATACGACATCGTTCTGATTGCTAATAATTCTGTAAAACTACACACTTACAAGAACTTATAAGCGACCTAAATGCACCTAATGTTGAAGTTGGCCTAAAAATGAACTTGACAAAAACAAAACCACTTACAACGAGCTAGTGGTTGTGTGTTTATGTCCAAGATGTAATAATAAACAACACTGCACTTAATGTATACCTAGGACAATTAATACGTAAATCTGGATCCTTACTGCCAGAAATCAAGAAAAGAATGAAACTGGCTTGGGCAACTTTTGGTTATATTCAAATCCAGAATGCCACTCCACCTGAAGAAAAAAGCATTCGATCAGTATCTTTGTGTATACTAACAATCATGACATACTGCTGCGAAACTTGTGACACTAAAGAAAGAGATAATATCGAAACTCGAAGTCACTCAAAGGTCAATGTAGCGATGCATGCTAGTTATAACAGAGAGATCGAAAAAGAATAGAAGAATCAAACAGAAAACCAAGGCCACTGATGTAATCCATAGATTTAAATCTTTAAAACGGCAGTGGGCGGAACATTTAGCGAGAAGAACTGACAATAGATGGTTCACTAGAATTACACTGTGGTATTCAAGAGACGTCAAGAGACCAAATTTAAGATGGGACTATGACATAAGGAAACAAACCGGTACAGCATGGACAACAGAAAAGTGAATATTAGAAAATCGTGGACAGAAATGAAGATGACTATGTAAATGCACCATAATCGGTAGAATATACTGAGAATGATGATGATGATTATGCACTATATTCCGTTCTCTAATCGTGCTAAACAGATCGGAGTTTAGGTATTTTAGTTAAAAGAGTTGATAAAACTACACCCTTCAATGGCGGTATTACATAAAAGAATTACGTGTACAGGAATAAGTTTCCTGTTGTATATATCCTGTTTATATGCCAAAATTATACATGATAAAACAGGAACAGATGAAAACATGTCAAATGAACTCAATATTTGTGAAAAGGGCGTAAAAAACGAAAACGTTGGTTGTACGTTAAACAGTGACGGCTAACGTTTATTGCAGCTCATACATTAACGTTTCGTTAATAATAATATTAATAGTATCGTAATAAGCTGTACTCCTCGCGACGTCCAGATGTGTACAAAATTTTTTAGAGATACTTTAACATACCAAGTCACCTAGGGCTCGATAACACGGAAATTCAGCACAATAGCACAATTCTTTTGATACCCTAGATATCTGGGATGATTAAATTTTCCCCTTAGAGGAAGTGTGAGCCGTATGGCTGAATCTGGATAATATCGTATGGCCGAAGCACGGAGCACAGCTTGTTATTATTTTTGGAAATGAAAATGCCGTTGTTTGTGCCGAGAATCGAACTCGTGCGCTTTGGCTTAGAAGGCTAGTTATGATCTTACAAAGATCTTAAAAGTTTGGTATAACTGGGTTAAAGTTAAAAAAAAGTGATACTTTGAAAGAGTCAACAGACCTAACTCTAGTGTGAGTTTAAAATTAATACGCTCAATGCCTCTCAAAAGAATACTATTGGTGATAAAGTAAACATTGACATACATTTAATAATAATAAAAAACCATTATTAATAAGATACTTACCTAAAGATTTCATTCTCTCATACAAAATTTCACAAGCAGTGTCAATCTCCTCCTGACCAGTCAAAAAAAGTAAAATATCTCCTGGGGGTTCTCTCAAATGTATCTGCATCACCGTTATCAAACTAGCATCTAAATAATCAGTTTCTGGCTCTTTTGTATATAAAACCTCAACGGGAAAAGTCCTACCGGGAATAGTAAATATGGGCGCTTTAAAGAAATACTGCGAAAATTTTACAGCGTCTAAAGTAGCTGAGGTTACTATCAGTTTCAGTTCTTCTCGTTTCATGACTGCTTGTTTTAATAATCCAAAGAGAACATCTGTATGGATAGTTCGTTCATGAGCTTCATCCAACATTATTACCGAGTATTGCTTGAGGTCTAGATCCATGAGACATTCTCTTAATAACATACCTAAAAAAAATTACATTGAATTAAAATTAAACATTTCAAGCCTATTAACTTCTCGAGAGATATTAATAAAAAAAGTAACGTTTCAGATATTTGACATGTATAAACAACAACAATATACACAAAATACTCGTAATAAGTAAACAACAGAATATAAAACCGTCTATATATGTAAATAATACCAAACTTGAGCAAGTTGATAAAATCGTCTACCTTGGACAGCAATTAAATTGTAATGCAGAAAATCACGGCGAAATTAGATCCAGAATAGAGCAGGCTAGAGCTGCTTTTAGAACGATGTCCAAGGTGTTATGTAACAGAGACCTAAAATTGGCATTAAGGATCCGCCTACTTCGCTGCTACGTGTTCTCGGTCTTACTTTATGCTGTCGAGTCCTGGACTGTGAATAAAATCAATCTAAATCGCCTTGAGGCTTTCAAAATGTGGTGCTATAGATGAATTTTAAAAGTTTCCTGGGTGGAGAAGATTCGTAACTCCACATTACTAGAACGTCTCAGCAAGACTACTGAGATCATAAAAAGCATCAAGCAGAGAAAGCTGGAATATTTCGGACACGTAATGAGAGGTCCCAAATATAGATTGCTATAAAATATCATGCAAGGAAAAATAGCAGGCAAACGCAATCCAGGACGAAGAAGAACCTCATGGTTGAAGAACTTGCGAGATTGGTGTGGTGTAGATACAAGCATGCTATTTAGGGTGGCACTGGATAAAATTAAAATAGCTATGATGGTAACCAACGTTCTGAAAGGACATGGTACATGATGAAGAAGAAACAACAACAATGAACAAAATTTTGAAAACTACTTCTTATATCTTCTTCAAGTGCCATCTCCGCGGCGGAGGTCGGCAATCATCATAGCTATTCGAACTTTTGAGACGGCTGCTCTGAAAAGTTAATTTGATGTACCGGGTGGTCCATTAAGCCGATCTCTCGGCTATATATCAGAAACTATTCATGTTATAACTTTAGGAAAAAAAATTCCTTAGTAAAAGTGGCCAAGAGAAATCGCTGGAAATAACTTTCAAGATTCTGTATTAACCGCTAGGGGGCGTAACCTGCGAAGAAAATTTTGAAAACCATTTTTTTGGGAAATATGTCCAATTATACCAAGTGTTAACTAAGTAAACTAGAAAGACGCATAAATTCTGCACAAAGTTGTTTAAGTACTTTTTTTAAATTTTTTTCAAATAAAGGGTGGGGGAGAGTGGGAAAGTATTTGTGGATAAATACCTATAACTTTGGTTTGGTCCAACCGATTTTAATGAAATTAGTGTCATTAGAAATAGTGTGGATGAATTAATTCACATCTACTATAAAATACTTGCATTTAGTTTTCATAGTCGTAGATAGAGGGCACTTTCAAATAAAAAAAAATTAAAATTTGTCTTTCTTCAAAATTTTTAATGGAAACATCTATTTATTGTAAATTATAATGGAACTGGAATAAATTCGTAACAAAATGGAGCAAACCGCATGTTAATAGCTTTCGTTGAACTCGAGATATGAATAAACACTCATAAACATAAGTAAGTATAGTACTGACACACCCTGTTTATAAATTACATTAAAAAATAATTCAGTAGGTATTTTCAATTTTTTTTATAGCAGAAGAATCTTAATGTTGATACATATTTATTGTAAAAAATAGTTTTTTCGAAACTAAGTAGGCTACGACAATGAATTTGACGGGGAGTTCATATTGTTTATTTATTGACAGCAGTCAAAACATTGTTAAGAAGTGCTATATTATAATTCGAATTAAAGATTGCACTTTTTTCAATAGATGTTAATATTGGCAATATTAGTAATTAATTATCAGTACACATAATTCGTGATGAGTATATCAAATTTTTTTTTAACTCCATATACAAGACGGGACACATACCCAAAGAGTGGCTTCTCTCAACTTTTGTGACGATTCCAAAAATCACAAATGCTAAAGATTGCAATGACTATCGAACAATTGCGTTAATGAGCCACACATTGAAAACCTTCCTTAAAATCATACATAACAGAATCCACATGAAATTAGAACAAGAAATAAGTGATTCACAGATGGGTTTCAGAAAGGGTCTAGGAACTAGAGAAGCATTATTTGGAGTCCATGTTCTGACACAACGATGCCTGGATATGAATCAGGACATATATGCTTGCTTTATAGATTTCAAGAAAGCTTTTGATAGAGTTCAACATGAGAAGCTTTTAAGTATTCTTAAGACTAAAAACATTGATAGTAGAGATCTACAAATTATATCGAATCTGTATCAAAACCAGAAAGCAAGAGTAAGAGTCGAAGGAGAACTGACAGAGGAAGTAAGTATACTTAGAGGAGTTCGACAAGGGTGTATCCTTTCACCACTCTTATTCAACGTCTACAGTGAAGTGATTTTTCAAGAGGCTTTATTGGATATCGTGGAAGGTATTTATGTCAACGGAAATAGCATTAATAATATTAGATATGCCGACGATACTGTCATATTTGCAAGTGACATGGAAGATCTACAGTACATAATACAACATGTATACAATGCATGTGAAAGTTACGGACTGCAAATGAATCTCAAGAAAACGAAATCAATGATATTCTCAAAAAAACCACAAAATGTAAATAACCTGATCATCAATAATACAACGATAGAAAGAGTAAAAACATATAAATATTTAGGAACGTGGCTAACCGAAGATGGAGATCAAGTAAAGGAGATCAGATCTAGAATAGAAATGGCAAGAAACACGTTCATAAAATTGAAGAAATTACTTTGCAACCGTAACCTTAATTTAGAGATTCGCACAAGAATGCTACGTTGTTACGTCTTCTCTACTTTACTATATGGCATGGAAGCGTGGACAATAAAGCAGTCTGAAATCAAAAAATTAAACTCCTTTGAGATGTGGTGCTACAGGAGAATGCATAAAATATCTTGGATTGAAAAAGTAACTAATATAGAGGTGTTACAAAGAATGAAGAAAGAATGTGAAGTCATAAAAACTGTTAAAATTAGAAAGATTCAATATCTGGGACATTTAATGAGGGGTGAGAAGTACGTATTACTGAGGTTGATTATGCAAGGGAAGATACAAGGGAAGAGAAACCCAGGACGACGCAAAATGTCCTGGCTAAGAAATTTGAGAGAGTGGTTTGGCTGCAGCTCATTAGAATTATTCAGAAATGCGGCCAACAAAGTTAAAATAGCGATGATGATTTCCAACCTCCGCTAGGAGAAGGAACCCGAAGAAGAAGATATCAAATTGTATTATATGATTGGAGTTTATTTCGAATGTCACCAAAATGCCGCTATTATCTCACGTATATATTTTGTAAGATATCGTGACAGGAGACATTATGGCAAAGAAGTATTTGAAAGAAAGGCAAAAAGATTAAGAGAAACTAGTAGTTTTTCTCGTCCTTGTTTTCAACGACGTAGTAGAGTTATGACCGAAGATAATTCAATCAATGTTCTTGCTTTAATTCAACAGAATCCACATATAAGTAGTCCGAAATCTCTACTTCTTTGCCACAATATCTCCTGCCAGGATATCTTACAGAATATATACGTGAGGCAATAGCGCCATTTTGGTGATATTCGAAATAAACTCCAATCATATCATACAATTTGATATACTCATCAGGAATTATTAGTACTGATTATTAATTACTAATATTACCAATATTAATATCTATTGAAAACAAAGCAATTTTCAATTCGAATTATAATACATATAACACTTCTTAACAATATTTTGACTGCTGTCAATAAATAAATAATATGAACTCCCTGTCAAATTCATTGTCGTAGCCTACTTAGTTTCGAAAAAACAATTTTTAATCATATGAAATAACAATGGTCAAAATAGATATCAACATTAGGAGTTTTCTGCTATAAAAAATTTTGAAAGTACATACTGACTTTTTTTAATTTATTTTATAATACAGGGTGTGTTATTACTATACTTACTTATGTTTATGCGTTTTTATACATATCTCGAGTTCGATAAAAGCTATTAACATGCGGTTTGCGCCATTTTGTTACGAATGTAATCCAGTTCCATTATAATTTACAATAAATAGGTGTTTCTATTAAAAATTTTTAAGAAAAACAAATTTTAATTTTTTCTATTCGAAAGTACCCTCTACCTACGACAATTAAAACTAAATGCAATTATTTTGTAGTAGATGTAAATTAATTCATCCATACCCTTTCTAATGACACTAATTTTGTTAAAATGGGTTGATCCAAACCAAAGTTATAGGTATTTATCCACAAATACTTTCCCACTCTCCCCCACCCTTTATTTGAAAAATAAAAAAAAAGTACTTAAACAACTTTGTGCAGAATTTATGCCTCTTTCTAGTTTACTTATTTAACACTTGGTATAATTGGACATATTTCCCAAAAAAATGGTTTTCAAAATTTTCTTCGCAGGTTACGCCCCCTAGCGGTTAATCCAGAATCTTGAAAGTTATTTCCAACGATTTCTCTTGGCCACTTTTACTAAGGAATTTTTTCTCCTAAAGTTATAACATAAATAGTTTTTGATATATAGCCGAGAGATCGGCTTATTGGACCACCCGGTACATCCATACAACTCTCTCAGGTTGCGCAGTCACAACATTCTACGCCTCCCTATGCTTCTCTTTCCTTAGATCTTTCCCTGCATAATCAGTTTTAGCAAGGTGTAGTTTTCTCCACGTGTAATATTTCCGAAATATTCCAATTTTCTTGTTTTAATTGTATTTAAAATTTCTATTTCTTTATTCATCCTTCTTAGAACCTCTTTGTTTGTGACGTGTTCTGTCCATGATATTTTCAGAATTCTTGTATACACCCACAGCTCGAATGATTCCAGTTTTTTCATTGATGTCGCATTCAAGGTCCAAGATTCCATTCCATAAAATAAAGTCAAAAAAACATAGCACCTCGCCAACATAACTCTTAGTTCCAATTTTAAATCCCTTGTACATAGCACTCTTCTCAGT